ACACACACACACACACAAGCTGGAATCAATAAGGCAACACTAATTGATGAGCTTCCTCACCTTGAACAAAACCTCTCCTCCTCTTCCTCCCCTTTTTTTGCCACTGACCACTCATCCATTTCTCTCCTGCTCCTCTTCGTCCTGTTCTTCCTCTTCTCTTCTTCAGCCTCTTTTCGACTATATATTTTTTTCTTCCATCTCATTTCCTCACGCTGCTTCTATATCTTCTTCTCCTCCTCTTCCTGCTCCAACTCTTTGTAATTCACCTCCTCGCCTTCCTCCTCCTGATTCTCCTTCCCTGCTTCTCACTTTTGCACAATTTTCCTCACCATTATTCGTTCTTTTTCGATCCTCTTCCTTCTCTTCTTCCTCTTCCTCATTTCTTCAAGCTGCTTCTATATTTTCTCCTTCTCCTTCTCTTCTTCCTCCACCTCTTTATCATTTTCATTTTTGTCTCCCTCCTCCTCCTCCTCCCCCCCTTCCCCTGCTTCTCACTTCTCCTCATTTTCTTTGCTGTGAGCCTTTCTTTCTTGATCTTCTTCCTCTTTTACCTTCCTCCTCTTTCTCATTTCCTTCATCTATTTCATCCCCTTCCTTCTTCCTTTTCCTCTTATTCAGCCTCTTTTGAGTGTATTTTGTTCCTCCCCTTCTTTCACTTCATTTTCTCACGCTGCTTCTATATCTCCTCTTTCTCCTTCTCTTCATCCTCCAACTCATTCTCATTTTCCGTCTTGTCTTTCTCCTAATCTTCTTCTGTCTCCCCTTTCCTACATTTTCCTTGCCTTTAGCCTTTCTTTCTTGATCCTCTTCCTCCTTTACCTTCCTCCACTTTCTCATCTTCTTCCTCTCCTTCCTCCTCCTGCCTCCTCCTCCTCTTTGCTCTTCTCCTCCTCCTCCTCCTCCTCTCTGCACTCGTGATGGTAAACCTTCACCTCCGTCTTCGTGCGGCTCCATTTTTATCCTGCAGTGAGAGCGAGAATAAATCAGGTGCTGTTGGGTGGAGGGTGGGTGGAGCTCGGCAGCGTGGGGTCAGAGGTCGTGGGTGTGGAGTCCCTGAAGCCAAGCGGTGTGCGTTGGCTGGCGGTCTGAGTGTCTTCAGGTCAGAGCGGCCTGAAAGCTGCAGTAGTGTGACTCAGAGCTCTGGAGAGTTCTGCTGTTGACTGCAGCCACGATACGAAAAAAAAACTTCAGACAGAAAGAACGGGCTGAATGAGACGAGGCTCTTCTCATCCGACCCCGGACGAAACAAGGTTGGGTCAATCTGGTTTTATTCTATTTATTTATAAAGTGCCAACAGTGGATTATTAGACCAGCCCTTCGGCCAGAGCCTCTATATGAAGTTAATATTTGTTTAAAAAGTCTTAGGAGTCGGTGAAAAGACACAAAACAACTAAAAGAGACAAACAATTCCCACAAAGAGACGTAAAAAACGACAACAGACAAAACAAGAAGAAAAAGATATAATGAACACTAAGATGAAAAGTTAACATAAATCGATAGAACCAGAATAAAAACAGGAAACAAGCGTCAGAGACAGTTTCAGTCTGTGGCTCCGTTCCTGTGTCTGAGGCGTGTGGTTGGTCATTTATCATGTGCATCATGTTCATACTTTGTGTTTTTCCCTCCTCAGCTGTCCCACCCCCGGCTGTGATGGCAGCGGACACGTCAGCGGCAAGTACGCCCGACACCGCAGGTACGAAATGCTCTTGGTGTTCAAACATCACAATTCAATTTATTTAAAACAATTCTAAAAGTCTGAAGAAAAGAACTGGGTAAAGTTTAAAAAGGTTTTTTAACCATTTACTCTGTCACCCTTTGTACCGAGAGAAGATTTAGCACGATGAGAAAAAGTGACGGGGGCTGAGGATGTTTTAAGTTGGACATGGTTGCTTGCAAAATTCTTAGGTTTTAGAAAAAAGTTGTTTTAATAGCTGAAGCATATTTTATATAAAGTAAAATTCTGTGAACATTTTTAATTTAAAATGTCCTATTTCCAGATCTTTGCATTTATTTCAGCAACTTTTATTTTGAAAAACAACAACCCTGGATTTCGTTGCCTTACTGAGTTTCTTATAAACTCAATTTAATCTAAATCTTCACAGGTTAAAATTTATAAATTAACAACTTAAAATGTCTGAAACAGCATTAGAGAAAAACATTTCACAATAAATACAATACGAATGAAATAAAAACTAAAACAATTTAAAAACCACTTTGATAATTCAACATTTTCTTGCTGGCTGTAAAACCTGTAGTTCATGAAGGAGTTCAGTCGGCTGCAGTCCAGCGTGCAGGTCTCAGACGTCTCACTCAACATCTCCGAAACCAAAGTGTAGTGATGATAAACAAGCTGGTTTCAAACCTCCTCAATCGGCAGCTCGTTGCCTCCGGTCAGTCACTCCGGCGTTCTGTCACAGGGCCGCAGATAGAGAAACCAATCAGGCTGAGCGCGGGGCTGTGAAGTCCCCGGGTCACACTGAACGATGGCCGTCCACTCCGCAGCCGTGCAGCCCTTCAGGCGGCAGGACGGATGGTTCCTGCCTCAGATCTCTGTCGCTTCAGGAGACGCTGAAACTGTGAATTACCAACAAACTCTGAGGGGGCCGCTGCACAATGTGACCCCTCGATGAGTCACTGTTGTTTTAACGTCTTTATTCTCTGCAGGAAAAGTTATTGTGGATAAGCTGCAAGAAATAGGAACCTTAAAAGTCGTATTTATTCTTCCAGAACAAAACGTACGATGGCTGCATTTGCTGTTGATGTAAACACGTTGCTCCAGAGCAGAACAATGTAGACCAACATAACATTGCATTTTTCTGCACAAGTCCTGGTTGAAACTCATTAAATTTGTATAAAACAGTTATAATATATATCAAAACAAGTGTAGTATGGCAGCGTTGAAGCAGAAGTGAACCACAGAGGTTTTTACTCAAAGAAAATAACAGTTGAAGGCTGAATATGAGGCTGTGGAGGAGGAAATAAAGTAGTTTTCATTTTTTAGGTAGAAAAAAACAACCATTTAAACATCCATTATGAAATCAAAGCACTTGTTGAGATGTTTTGAGGTTATTTAGAAATATCTCCATGGTATTGTTTTCACTGTAGAGGATTGTGTGTGTGTGTGTGTGGGAGGCTGGCATGAAGAGGTTGCACGGCTCAGGACAGCGGTGGTTTGACGCCCGAGGTAACGGAGAGATAATGAGAAGGGGCAGGATGGCGAATCACTGGCAGAGCAGACTGATGTTGCTGCGAAGGGCACAGAGCTTCCCTGGGAAAATTCAGCGTCAGGCGTGAGGAGAGCCAAACTCTGAAATAAGAGCTCAAACATCCACAAGAAACAAAAAAATCACACTTTCTCATAAATGATCTGATGGAAACGTTACGATTGTGGGAGAGAAAGGAACGAGATTTGATTTTGATTTGGTTTAAAACCCTCTCACCCTGTTTTCACATGTGATTACTTCACTGCTCTGTCATCAGGATTATCACAAACGGCTCAGGAACATTTCATTTGATATTTCATTTGTTTTTTCTGTGTTTGTTAGTTAGTTAACAGAATTATGCAAAAACTACTCAGCTGATTTCCATGGAATTTTGTGTAAAATGATGAGCGGAGCATGATGAGATAAGATAATATAATTTAAAAATGTATTTACCCATAAAAAAATTATTGTGCCAGTTTTCTCCAGATTACACAATAGCTTAAAAAGTGCAGACAGTAAAACCAGAAAGTATGAGTCTAAAAATATAACTGAGGATAAAAATAAAAGTATACATTTTATTATTAGTGAAAATAAAATATTAAGTGTTTACAAAATAAATGCAGGAATTGGTACCTATTATATTATTTTTAATATAATACCTATTATATATTATATTATTTCTATTAGAAATAACAATGGAAATAAGAAAATAAATAAAACAAGTTTAAAACAGTAAAAGAAAACCTGGATCCACCCCAACATTTGTTGATGAGAAAATCCAGCTCCGCTCAACAACCAAAAACTCGTAAACCTGTAAAACCAACAGTCAGAAAATACTAAATAATAAAAAAAATAAAAAAATATGATTGTTTCACATCAGAATTCATGTTTTCACCTGAAATTAAAAAACAGTCACGTTCATCTCACATTGAGTGGCTGTTCCCTCATTAAGGACTTTGTGTTTATTAACATATTAACTTGAACCTACTATGAAAGAAAAGTGACAGAGAGAGAGAGAGAGAGAGAGAGAGAGAGAGAGAGAGGTAGACTGTGTGATGGTTTCTCTCTGGAGAATGAATGAATTTCTTAATCAGTTAATCATCAGCTGATCACACGACACTCAAACGTCTGATTTTTTTTACAAAGACACAGCGACGAGGGAGCACACAGCTTTTGCTAATTTGTCTCCTGTCTGATTTCTTCTTGTTATTTATTTTTCTGTCTTTCCGCTGAATGCTAATAAGACTTTATAGGTTGGGAAGTCCCCCCTGACTCCACATGAGTCAACCATATCCGAAAAAAACCTTTGGTGAGAATTTAATTTAACATTTCATAAGCGTCTTCCCCAGAGTCGGATGAAACGATGGATTCTGGTTTCATCCTCGTTGCTTCAAGTACAGAGAGGTCCAGAATGTGTTTAGCCCAACTTTGCATTCATGGTAATGTGAGAACTGTCAGTCTGGCTTTGTTAACACTGACGAATATACTCTTTCAAAATACTCCTTCAAAATACGCAGCTGCTGTCGGTTTCTCTGTTTTCAACATCGGCTTGGAGGAAAGAGTGTGTGGGGAAAAAAATCCATATTCAAACGACTGCTGTGATTATTTATTTGGCTTCAAATGTTGACAGAAAACTCCAGCGTGGCTCCAGGGGCGAAAACTTCCAGCGAGCCACTTTCTCAGCTAACCTGCAAGTGAACAGCAGACGAATGGCTAAACTCAAAGTTTCCACATTTGAATTTACAAGCTCCCGTTTTGAAGCGAATCCTTATTTGAGAAAAGCAAAATAGTTTTTACACACAAGAGGTTTCCAGTTGTTGAGAACAACGCAGGTTCCGTTAATATTACATCTTCATTTA